TTTTTGCTTAGCAGGTCTTCTTCACTGACAGTGGCTCCTGAGCCATTAAAATCGTTCCAGGAATGCTGAACTTCGTGGTGGTGCTCCTATGTCGGAAGACGCGCCTGCCGCTGTTGCGCCGCATCCTGGACAAGGTTTAGGACCAGTTTTTGTTTGTTTCGTAGTTCTTCTTGACTGATGACCAGACCCTTCTGGTGGTGAGTCTATGTTGCAAGAGAAGGCTACCACTGTTGAGCTACTTGTGTTAAAGAGGGTGTAGTGGACTTTCTTTTCAGTCTTTTCTATGTCGGACCTCCCTCCCTCCCTCCCTCCCTCCCATATTTCCACTTGAGGAAAGCTGATGATTCCTTGCCAACTGCGACAAAGCGTGAGCCCGTTGCGATTGGAGCGCAAGCGATTCTGGACTCACAATAAAGACATGGTATCTGGATCTCCCACTCTCAAATGACTGTAGCCAGATTTGGTTGGCTGCGTGTTGTTGGTGATTAGGCCGTCACTAGGCAGTAGGGTCACGAGGCCATTGTTTTCCTTCAGACAAAGGCTGATAAGATGGTATGTGAAAAACCATTTGTCTCGAGTTGTGTGCTTCAATGGATTGTTTTGAACATTGTAAACTCCCAGAAATCCCAGGATGCCTCAGTCACAGCCTTCGAAACCATTGTTGGAGCAGTCTGGTGAAAGTCGGCTGCTGGTCAGCTTTAGGTGTTTTCCTTTGGCGTGTCCACTTGACTTGGTGAGGGGTCAGGAAGTCTTTACAGAACAGCTGAGGACAGCAATTGCCAAACGGGCCTCCACTCCCGAAGGACCTTCGCCACCTACCAAGCGCCACAGGGGAAAGACAAGGCAATCTCCCATGCCACGCGATGCTCTGCTGGCATTTGTGAAAGTGCAGAGTCAGGCAAAAAGCCCTGCAGCACCAAGCCAAGCTTAGAGGCCAAAGGTTCTGCTTCAAAATGATTCAGGATCTATTCGGGCCTGACCTTTCTCAAACATGAATCCTCTAGTCCATCGAAAGCTGGATTGGAGCAGGCTTGCTTGTTTGTGGCTTGACTTTGTATCCTTCCATATATCAATGTCTACCGGCGTTAAAAGTTAACATTGTCTGTGACAAATGACTTGTTTCTGGACCAGGGTGAACCCCTCAAGTTGTCTACATTAGATGAGATGTCTGGTTTACTGTCACCTAGCAGGCCTGTGGTTAGTGGATTTGTGGGTCATCTGCTACCAACTCCAGCTGTTTGGCGAGAGCGTGAAAAACTGAAGGCGGCTGAGGCAGTTTCTGGCTTGAAACCATTCGCCAGGGCAAAGCCAAAATCCTACCAGAACCTTATTTCCAACCCAGACTTTTCTCAACCTTTATTTCCTTGAGTTTTGAAATTTAGCACTTGTGTGGCTGCACTGTCAACGAGAGAGACAGCCATTTGCAACAGACTACGAAAAGTTCCTTTACAAAGATACCTTCCAATCAGGTGGGCAGATTTGGCAATGTATTGCATTAGTCATTCATCAGGGTCCAGACCCGCTAAATGGTGAACAACAACCCTGTGAGCATTTTTACGTGTTAGAGCATGAAAATGTCAACTCCACAACGCTGAAGTATGATAATGCTACTGGACTGAGTCAATTAAGTGCCCTACAAATCAAAGCAGGTGATCGAATTTGCGGTATCCTTTATCGACATGCGACAATTTCGAGTACATGGTCCCACACGCGACCTCCGAAACGAATGTCAAATATAGTGCGTGGCAGAGACTCCAAACGTGCCAAGAACAAATTTGGGCAGCGAGAAGTGAGTGCACCCAAAAGAAAACAGGCTATTAAAAGGGCCATTGATGTTGGAAATCGAAAAGATACTATTGGCCCTGTTCCTATTAGTGCGAACGAACTCCAAGCTACTTACATTCCGGAGAAGCTATGCCCACCGCCTCCCGGTGATGCAACTATTCCTGCTGAGCAACTTAAAGCAGTTGAAACATCCTTGTCGCAGTCATCGCAAGCGGATCACCTCGCATCGCCTGCCTCTCCAATTGATCAACCCATGCAGAGTTGTGAATCCAAACCACCATATGCTGTTCTGAGTATGTTTGATGGTTGCGGGTCATCATTAGACATCCTGATTGAAAAGTTTGGCTATCGCCCCAAAGTCTGTGTGCTGTGTGAAAGGGATGAAACGCTCAGATATTTGGTTGCAGAAAAACATGGAATCTCTGTCAACGTGCAGTGGATACATAGCCTCAAAGGAGGCATTTTCCTCTATGCTAATGATGTTGACATTCTCTTTGATGATGGAGCAAGAATCTTAAGAGAGTTCGTCACGTTGTGTGATTGTTGTCATGTCTTTGTTATTGGAGGCAGTCCCTGTACTGACCTCACCTATGCGGGTCAGGAACATGGACGCTTAGGCATTTGTGGCCCCGACAGCGTCTTTTTCTTTACGATGCATCTCGCGTTATATCTACTTGGTACAGTCCTTCCTAAGACACACATTCGTTTTCTTATTGAAAATGCTGGTTCTATGCATTATGATCACTTTACCTTTATCAGAGCCTGCCTTGGACTAGCACACATTACACGTGACAAGATGACGTGGTGTACTTCTAAAATATCACCAGCTAAAAGACTTCGTCTCTTTTTCCAAAACAATATTCTACACGACACGATTGATTCTCAAGCCTTGTGCCAAGAAGACTTACAATGGCCGGCTGACTGGAAACCACTGTCCATCCATGACAAAGGGAAGTTCCGTGATGTTTTTATCAAACCCTTCATGCGACCCCTTGAAGTCCTCAGTGATACTGCACTTCGTTACAGCTGGACCAGTTACCATCCTGCAGCCTTGCTGTGGAGAACTTCGTACTGGCACACACATGAACGGTTTGCTGTAATAGCAAACATGTTCACTGATAGTTCTGTTCCTGCCTTCCAATGGAGCGATTTTATACCGGCAATCTATTATCCGGCATGGAGGCGCTTCTTGTGTTGTTTCTACAACAAAACCTCCTCTAATCCAGAGAAGGATGCGGTGCTTCGTGATGTCCTCCCTTTATTTCACAACAGCAGTATACGAGTTCCCTTCCGCTTCTTAACTGACACTGAGGTTTTGCAAGTCTCAGGACTTAGTCGCAACTTTGCCACTATCTCGCGTCTTAAACATGTTTTGCACTCGCATACAATTCGCTCATTCGTTGGCAACTCTTTCCACCCTAAGCTTATCAGCCTTGCCATTGGCACGCCTGATCATGTTCGAGCATGGATCCAAGGAAAAACTGAATGTTTCTTTGGTGTGGCCTCCCCGGATGACGTTAGACAAGGTTATATCTCCTTTCGACAAACCATTGAAAACAACCTCAAGATGTCGGGCAGAAGCACCCAAACTACAATTGTACCAGAACCTTATCGACACATCAACTATCGGAACTTAGTTATGTCACCAGTCAAGAAACCCCCAATTGCTCAACCTATAGTCACGCAAAAGCTGCCGCATTATCTCACCAAAGAAGCCATTGACAACAGTAACAAGCACAGACGAGATCAACGTTTCGACATTTTAGGCAAAGAGCCTCTGATTAAGTTTCTTACTGATCTTAACCTCTTTGACTATGCGGAGCAAGCAGCGGTACCGCAATGGATTTTTTTCAATGAAGAGATCGTGCGGGCTTTGTGCAGTCTCTCTGCTGACAGTGATGCCCTGAATGTCTATCAACAAGAGCTATTGCATCATTGTACCTATCACAGAGTCATTCTCTTTCTTCGTCAACTTCTTATTACAATCAAAGTTGCTGACACAGGTTTTGTTGTTTGCTGGCTTGCCCATCAGCCAATCCATGTTAGATATCTTGGCCCTAGCCGAGCTACAAACCTGTATTTATTGCGTCTCCAAGACACGCTGGAGATCCTGCTCTTCAAGTATGGTGGAGACCCCGTGAGTATTCGACAGCCTTTGCAATCGTCTCCTTGGTATCGCTCCATGTTCGGTTTTCAAGCAAATCCCCAGGGAGTTGGAACAGAACACCTATGCGCCTTTGCAATCCAGCAAGAACGCATCTGTGCAATCACCGAAAAGCCATGGACACATAGTTTTGTTGAGCCAGGATGTGCTTTGTGGCGACTCTCCCATCTTTTGCTAGCAGCAGAGAATAATGTACGCAAGGAACCCTTTGCAAACGTTTGCCATCTTGCGTTAGGGAACTTTCCTGTCGTTTTTATCGGGGGGCTTCTTCAGGATTGGTGCCTTAGCATCTGTCCTGAAAGCGCACGGGCAGCTCACCCACAACTCCAAGAAGCTATTTGGCAAGCAGATAAATTGCCCAACCATTGTCTGCTGCTCATCCACCAATTGGAAACCCCTGAAGCCAGCAATTGTGAACGACTGATTTCCCTGACGCCTACACCGCACAACCAGCATCCAGTTCTTCCAGTGATCAGTGTAACAGAACAAGCTGCTGCTTGCATCCCTACTGAGGCCTGTATTGATGATTGTCAGCTTATGACGTTCAAATCAGTTTGGTACGCCTGCACGCAAGGAGAGATTTCAGCAAAGATTTTTCGCAGTGCTAAGGCACTGATACACGCTGAATGACGCGATTATGTCATCTACCCATTAAATCTCTCCGATTAGTGCAGCGTACCCTCTCTACAGGTCTCAAAGCAGCATATTGGCATATCAACCGACAAACAAATGCATCTATTACGAATGTTTCCTCCCTCCACTTCCTTATTCATTTTATCTATCCCTGTCTGCCATACCGGCAGATCATGATTCAGGACTTCCTTAACGTGTGTGGTTTTGACGGCAATGTCAACTTGTCTGACGCCCTCCTCTCTTTACGAGTCAATATTGGCAAGTTCACAGACTGTATAGTCACAGATCCGTCTGCGCCTGTCGGCGACACTTCGCTCATTCTTCCAAATGAAATACAATCCCTACGCCAAATCCC